ATCCTGTGTGCTAGATAGAGAACACGCGAACAAACGTCAAAAAACTAAGTTACAATCGCTGCCTCATACACGCTCCTTTGAGGTTACTAAAAAATGAGTCAGACGAACTCATTTTCAAAACTACTTTTGAAACGTTAAATCATGAGTAGTTATGATTTGTTAATTTGAGTAACATTGACTCAACAATAAATAAATAAAGGTGGATCTCAATTTTGAGTTTTCAGCCCATTTGCTGAATCTAAAAATAATGTAAAAATGCGAAGTTTTTCTTTCCGTAGTAGACGAAAATTTTAAAATTTCGAAAGAAATCATTCAAAAATAAAGCAAATTGAAGCAGCCGTGGATAAGATAATGAAATTTAATCGCACAAGAACGCCAATCGTATTCGATTACTCAATTGATGGATTTGTACTAGAAAGAGTAGAACAAGTAAGCGACCTAGGTGTAATGCTGGACCCTAAACTTACGTTTGACTTACACCGTTCAATGGTAATCACTAAGGCTAATCGTCAGCTTGGTTTTATATCAAGAATCTCAAGAGATTTTTCGGATCCGTACTGTTTAAAAGCACTGTACTGTTCACTCGTTCGTCCGATTATCGAGACTGCATCTGTTGTTTGGACTCCCTACCAACTTTCCTGGAACATCAGAATAGAACGTATCCAAAAAACATTCATTCGTCGAGCATTAAGACAACTTCCTTGGAGAGATCCACTAAACTTACCTCCGTATGCTGAGAAATGTCGCTTGCTAAGCATGGACACGTTACAACGACTGCGACAAATTCAACAGGCAACATTCGTCGCGAAGTTATTAAGTGGTGAAATTGACTCTACCCACTTACTCTCTTGCTTGAACTTTCGTGCGCCAAGCAGATTTCTACGCTCAACGTTCCTATTGCGTCAAGACTCACACCGCTCTTCTTTTGGACAACATGAACCTGTTACGAGTATGATTCGCACGTTTTCTACAGTTGAAGAGTTGTTCGAGTTTGGGGAACCTGCTGCTCAATTCCAGAGACGTATTATTAACTCCAGATACATTTAGTATTTGTTATGGCTTCTGGTTCATTAAGACTTATTGTCAGATGGATGTATTAAATAAAAATAAAATAAAATAAAATAAAATAAAATAAAATAAAATAAGGAAACGTACCGCAAACTGAGAGATAATGGTTTTGCATTTTGTTTGCTATAAAATAAAATGCTTAATTAATATGTTTTTTACTTTTTGGTTCATTAATCCCAAAAAAAAAGAAAGGAAACGAAATGTATGCCCATTTGTGTATTTTTGACTCATTTCCCTATATTTTGGATTCTATGGGAAACTCATACTCAATTAAGATTAGATCTGGTTTTAATGAAATAGAGTGGTTAAGCACTCAATTTTTAGCAGTCACGAACGAGCGTGCACAGAAGTTCAAATTTCATGAACGCGTTGAAATTATGCAAAAGTGCATTTTACCGAAAAGATGTTACGGAATTTTCATCTGCGTGTCATATATTTATTCGGCGGCGTGAACAATTTTACTGCGGCTGCGCGCCGGCTCAATTTCATCGGCGGCGGCGGCGTATGAAAATTGTCAGCGGTGGCGGCGTGGCGTGGCGGCGCACAGGTCTAATTTAAATGCGAAAATAATAAAAAAAAAAATAAAAAAATCTCGGCCAAGCTCGATCTGAAGAATATATATTTTTTTCAATGTTAAATAATTAGTCAAATCGACGTTTAACGAGGGTGGACTTAATTTTTTCCATGTTTTCACGTACATTTCACATAAAATTTAATATGGCACTTAAAACTAGGCCACTTAATGAGAACTAGTGTAATAAATTTGGATATTCAACAAAAATTTTATATCATCAGTTTCTATTTTAATTATTTTGACAAGATCGGATTCATAAATTCTTTTCTATCTTGATTGATGTTTTCCTAGTGGATTCAGCATGCGGCTTGGGGCAATGGCTCGGAAAGGGTTTTTATTGTTGCTAAATAGCTTTTATTGTAGCTTTCAAATGGTTCTCAATGCGTTTGCAGTGAATCAATCTCGAAGAGCTTCGAGAATATATCCTTCAGAACCTTCTCCAGGGTGGGCCAACTAGACATATTCTAGTCTTAATGAGGTTTTGGTGGATGCATTAATGACAAAATAGCCTTGACCAGGGTTTTATGAATGTTGTTTTATAGTTGCTTTGTAGTGTTTCATAAATCTTATAATGTTACTTGAGACAGCGACTCACGATGAGTAACTGCATCCAATCAGTAGCGGTGCGGCTTCTTACTTCTTCTTCGGTGAATCAAGGGGCTCTTGTGGGCAGACTTGATAGCTAGCTGCTTTCGGGGAGCCTTTCGTTGTGCACTGCGCACCGAAAGCACTACTACTGATGATGACGCCGGACACCACCACTCACCACACGCGATGATTGAATAAACACCGTTCGGTGAGACCGGATGGAATTCGATTTTGAAATCGGAAGCAAGCAATCGGTGATAATTTTAATTATCACATCAACAGTTGCACATTCGTGCAACTTTTCAATTATGACCTCTTGAAAATTGATAAAGTCTTAATGTTAACAGATTGGTAGAAAGTGGCAGACCACTTTCATGCCGCGACCGACTTTGGTTTTTGAAACTGCACCCCCAATGTTGCCATTACATGGTACGTTAGATTTAATTTATGGGAACTGACATCCAATGGATGACCTTGAGAAATGTCCTGAAAATAATCGAAAACAAATTTATGGTGGACCTGAAAAGAACTGTTTTGTCGTGATGGTTGAGTAATGCTGATCTATTAGGGTGTTCAACACAGATAAAGCTGGAGGATGTTGTTTGGAACGAGAATGACGCGCTTGGCATAGATGGCCCACAGCGACTCACGGAGAGCTACTGAATCCGATCAGTAGCGGTGCGGCTTCTTCCTCCTTCTTCGATGAATGGACGCTCATGTGGGCTGCTAGCGGGCAGCCTTTCGTTGTGTACTGAAGAACAATGTTCAACGCGACCACCGTTCGGCGAGACCAGATGGAACTCGATTTTGAAATCTGTGTTAGGGAAGGTGCATTTTGCAGGCAATCGGTGATAATTTTGATCACCATTGCAACAGTTGGACATTTCCGGAGTGATTTGAAATTTGAGCGTAGTTGCTTTTGTAAACAAACGCGTCAATCACCGATTTCTCACGAGTAAAAGCCCAATCTCGTTGGCAAACTATACCAAATCCAAACTAGCAATAAATCCTCTTTGTTTCCGAGATTGACGTTTTATTCGTGAGAAATCAGCGATTGACGTGTTAGCTTACAAATTTTATTACACGCAAATCGGATAACGGATTTGTGTAATTTTCAATAGTGACCTATTAAAATTGATAAAGTGTCCATTTTACCAGATTTGTAGAAAAATTTTTAATCGAATTATAAGTGGATAAACCTAACCACTTTTCGTATTACGGTCTATTCTTGTTTTTTTTTTAATTGCACCACCAATATGTTTCCGAAAGACGTAATCCTACGTCAAAACTGAAAAATATTCTCGTGGAAAATGAAGATACTTCCAGAGGAAGTCAGAGGGGTTTTTGAGGAAGAAACTTCAAGAAAAGCTGGTAGAAACTTTCGAGGCAAGGTGACAGAAATTTTCGGAGGCAGTTGGAAGATACTTTTCAGAAACGACGGACTACTTCGGTGAAAGACGTGCCTTGGTGCGAAAATGCAGTGAAATTATAGTTTAAATCTTGATTGCCGAAAACAGTCAATGCGTGCAAAAGCCATCATTTACCCTACTTATGCAGTTTCTTTTGCAACGTCAATTTATATTTTATTTTCTATTGCATTATATTTCAGCTCTCGATTCTCAACTTCATTTTTCATTTCTTTTTTTCTATTTCTGATTCAATTCAAGCTCAAGTCTTTATATGATTCTATTTTTGTTTCGATTCCAGTTTCTAATCAAATTTCGATTTCAATTTCAATTTAATTTACATTATTGTTCGTAATGCTCTGTTTTATTTCCATTCCGATTTACAATTTCTTGTTTTACCCATGTTCATTTATTTTCTATTCTGATTCGCATTTATTTTTCATTTCGATTCACATTGCATTTCCAAGTTTTTTTTCCAGTGGCATTGTATTATTATTTTATATCCATTCCAGCTCCTTGCCCTTTCCAGTCAATTTGATTTCTATTTATTCAACTCAGCTGGAATTGCGTCAATTTCAACCGAATAATGTCAACGTAAATGCATTAAAATAAGAGTCTAAGAATCTCTAGAAATCTCAGTAACACGCGTTAATCCATGCTTTAGCTAACTTCCAAAATTATTCACGAAGATTAGTCGTCATATTTCCAGAACTAAATATAAGCTGCACCTCTGCCACTAATCTGTAAATAGAATTTCACCAAATCCGGCTTTGAGTTGTGAGATACACTTCCATTTTCCCATGGTTTTGAAAATAGAGAAACCGAAATTCCCGCAAACCAAACATCCGCCTCTGATGGTGCTCAGGTGTGCGATGCAAGCAGATTTTCCTGCGAATTCACTTCCATCCACGCACCTCCGTCTGAAATGGAAAATGACTTCGGAAAAGCGGAAACAACTAAAACTACTTTCTTTTGCCACCACCATCTATCTACCCGTAGCCACATTCCAATGTGAGACGATGACAACTGCAGCGGCACTGATCCCCTGGGATTTACCTACACAATGGTGGGGCCTTCAGAGCGACTTCGTGTTCGCCGAAACTTTTCGCATAAATAAGAATGTTGTAGTTTCCAAGAAGTAAAGCCACATTCCAAGTTTTGATTGCTTTCGTAATGACACAGTTAAGCGGGAAGGCAGAGTTTCAGTTCCATAAAAGTGGATTAGCTGTTCTGCAGAGCAGGAAAATGTATAATTTTTAGATGTGGAACATTCTGGAGATGTAGTTCAAATACTAAATTATCAATAATCATAGCCAAATTAATGCACTGAAGTCGCCGTCCTTTTCCCGTTCTCTGTTTTTCAGATATTTGGCGGTAACACAACCGTTAAACTACTCCCGCCGGAGGCGGTCGAAGCGTCTAGCTCTCCTGATGATTTTGGTTGTCTGGGTGCTGGCCCTGGCCATCACTTGTCCCCCCATTCTCGGTTGGTAGGTATTCCCATTCCGTCTGCCATTCTGTGACTTAACCGTTTATTTCTTCCATCCCCCGAAAGGTACGAACCGGGCCGACGGGAACTGGACCAGTGCCGGTACAACCAAAACGAGGGCTACGTCGTCTTCTCGGCGATGGGTTCGTTCTTCATTCCTATGGCCGTCATGATCTACGTGTACTTGCGAATATCCTGCGTGGTGGCATCCCGACACGACAAGATGACCGAAATAGAAGTTCACAAGGTAAGCACCGAAACAAACAAAAAAGGCACACCCTTAGCTTTCAACCGTTAAAACACAGATTCCGGCGTTGATTACCTCCTCCAATCGATTCACTGAAAGAAGGTCTTGCAAGTGGCATAACAGTTAAGAGAGTTTCAATCCGGCGGTGCTCGTCAAATTTATCATCCAGAGATTACATGCCAATTACTGTGGCGTCACGGTTTCCCCTCCGGTTAGGTGCCTAGGTGGGATAGAAGGTATTGGATCATGGGTTCCATTATGGACGAGGTGGGAAGAGAATGAGACCTGCTGTAAAGGATGAAGAGCAGCACTCGAGAGTTGATGATTAAAATATAAATCACTGCACACTGGCAGTGGGTGATGGATTGAAAATGGCTTCCGACGATGCTGGAGTGGTGGGATGGAGGATATAACGGGGGAAACAAGGTATAAAGGGAGTCCGCATCGTGCTCTCTTGCCGTGCGGATCTATTTGCTTTTTGCTGAAGGAAGTGTTACTACTACCTAAAGCTACAACAAATTTAAACAGCACTTTTCAGTGCTCAACCTGAAAAAAAAAAAATTTTCTACCTTGTTCCAACTCTTATTCCTCTTCGATCCTTGTTTGGACCCTACCCGAGGTAATCCTTCTTGGATATCGATTTGGAAAATTCCTCTTCGATCCTTCAGATTCTTATAGTAATCTGCTTGGAAGTCGAATTGGATAAAAATTTACTGCCGCCATGGCGCCTAAACGCAAAAGAAAGGGGCAAACTCTTGACCCCCCTTCTGATGAAATTAATTTGAGTAATCAATTTGATTTGCTCACGGATGATGAGAATGATCCATCATCCAAGAAAAATTCTAGTAAACTTTCCCGGCTTAATGCCAAGAAGGAAAAGATTCCCCCTATTGTGATAACCACTAGCGATTTCCATGCTCTTCGCATGGAACTTTTGAATTTCGTGAAAGTTAAGTTTTCACTACAAATTGGACGTCGGGGTGAATGCCGTGTATTGGCTGAAACCTTGGACGGATTTAAATGTCTTCTCAAGTATCTTACTGAGAAGAAGCACAAATTTTTTACTTACGACACCAAAACTGAACGTGTGTTCAAGGTTGTCATGAAAGGACTGCCCAGTGGTGAATCCCTGGATCAGATCAAAGATGAACTGGCAAAATTACTTGGAGTTGTGCCACTCCAAGTAATCAAAATGAAAATGAAATCCCGTCCTGGCGATTCGCGCAACGGGATTTCTAATGATTTTTATTTAGTTCACTTCAAGTCTAGTGAACTAAACAACCTTAAGGCCTTAGAAAAAGCTAGCCTTATGCTCCATGTCCGAGTGAAGTGGGAACACTTCAGGAAGACTGGAGGAAATTTCCAAAACCTCACCCAGTGCCGTAAGTGCCAGGGATGGGGTCACGGAACTAAAAATTGCTACATGCCAGCTAAATGCATGAATTGTGGTGATTCCTCTCACGCAAAGGACGACTGTCCTGTGAAGGAAGATCCTAAGAAATTTAAATGTTCAAATTGTGGTGAAAACCACAAATCCAATTTTTGGGAATGTAAGACTCGCAAAGCGATCCTACAATCTCGTTCTAACCGTCAGGTAGGAAACGCTCCACGTTTCCGACCAGGTACAAATTCCTCTGCTGTTAACAACGGTCAGCGAGGAACAAATTCTACATTCGTACCCGTAGGTTCAAATATCTCCCCTGCTTCAAATGTTTCATCTGTACCTACTCCCCTCGCTGCTAACAATGTTCAGCGAGTTAATGGAGCTACCTATGCTGCTATTGCAGCGGGTAGAAATCAAAATACTAACCAACGTTCTAACGGAAATTTTGACAATTTTGACTTAGGAAGCATTACTGCCCCCAAAATGGAATTTTTACAGAATTCATTAATTGACATGATTTCTGATATGCTTAAATCTAACTCCATGTTTGATGCTATTCAAACTGGAGTAAAATTTGCAAATAATATTGTAATGACTTTAAAATTCAGTAATGGATTTTAAAGCATTAAATATTGTAAATTGGAATGCTCGATCTCTTAAAGATAATGAAGACGAGCTATTTAACTTTTTAAGAGTTCATAACGTGCATATTGCCGTTATAACTGAAACGTTCCTTAAACCTGCCCATAAGGTTAAGAAGGACGCAAACTACTTGATTTATAGAAATGATCGTCTTGATGGACCCTGTGGTGGCGTTGCCATCATTATTCATAGACGAATCAAACATAAAATTCTTTCTTCATTTGAAACCAAAGTTTTTGAAACTTTGGGAGTTTCTGTTGAAACAAAATTTGGACAACTTACGTTTATAGCTGCCTATTTGCCATTCCAATGCGTAGGCCAGCAAAAGAATTTTCTCAAGGGTGACCTCCAGAAACTTACCCGTCATAGGTCTAAATTCTTCATTATTGGTGATTTTAATGCAAAACACCGCTCATGGAATAATGCTCAAAGCAATTCCAATGGTAATATTCTGTTTGATGATTGTTCTGCAGGTTATTACACTATTCAATATCCAAACAGCCCAACATGCTTTTCTTCTATAAGAAATCCCTCCACTATTGATTTGGTCTTAACTGATTCATGTCAACTTTGTAGCCAATTGGTTACCCATGCTGACTTCGGTTCTGATCACCTTCCAGTAACTTTTGAAATATCCCAAGAAATAATTTGTAATCCCAACAACTCTACTTTCAATTACCATAGAGCTGATTGGGAGCAGTATCGAACATTTATGGAATATAACTTCGATCCAAACATTCCTTTGCAAACCAAAGATGAAATTAATTATGCTCTTGAATCTCTGACTACTTCTATAGTTGAAGCAAGAGCTGCCTCAGTACCAAAATGCGAGGTTAAATTCGATTCAATTATAATAGACGATGATCTTCAGCTCTTGATCCGTCTTAAAAATGTCCGTAGGAGACAATTTCAAAGAACACGCGATCCTGCCATGAAAGTTATCTGGCGGGATTTGCAAAAACAAATTAAAAAGCGATTCTCTGCCCTGAGGAACAAAACTTTTGAAAATAATATTTCTAAATTAGACCCGAGTTCCAAACCCTTTTGGAAACTCACAAAAATTTTGAAAAAACCTCAAAAGCCTATTCCAGCGCTTAAAGAAGGTGGTAAAATTTTGATCACAAATTTGGAAAAAGCTCAGAAACTTGCTAAGCAATTCGAGAGTTCCCATAATTTCAGTTTGGGTCTTACTAGTCCTATTGAGAATCAGGTTTCTCGAGATTTTCTGAATATTTTCTCTCAGGAAAATATTTTTGATGATTCCTGGGGGACTGATTTGGACGAAGTAAGGTCTATAACTAAAAATTTTCAAAATATGAAAGCTCCAGGTGATGATGGAATTTTCTATATCCTCATCAAAAAACTCCCAGAGAGTACCTTGTCTTTCTTGGTAAAATTATTTAACAGATGTTTCCATTTGGCATACTTTCCTGATAAATGGAAAAATGCAAAAGTTGTTCCAATTTTGAAGCCGGATAAAAATCCAGCTGAAGCTTCTAGCTACCGCCCAATAAGTTTGCTTTCTTCAATAAGTAAACTTTTTGAAAAGATAATTTTGAATAGAATGATGCTTCACATCAATACGAACTCAATTTTTGCAGATGAGCAGTTTGGATTTCGCCATGGGCATTCAACTACTCATCAACTCTTAAGAGTTACCAATTTAATTCGTTCAAACAAATCTGAAGGCCACTCAACTGGAGTTGCTCTTCTAGACATAGAAAAAGCATTCGACAGTGTTTGGCACGAAGGTTTGATTGCTAAATTGAAAAAGTTTAATTTTCCACTTTATATTATGAAATTAGTTCAAAATTATTTAACTGACAGAACTCTTCAAGTAAATTATCAAAATTCCAAATCTAATCGACTACCTGTTAGGGCAGGAGTTCCTCAGGGTAGCATTCTTGGGCCTATATTGTATAACATTTTCACTTCGGACCTCCCTGATTTGCCTCAGGGTTGCCACAAATCTTTGTTCGCTGATGCCACAGGCATTTCCGCTAAAGGAAGAAGTCTTCGTGTTATTTGCAGCAGACTGCAGAAAAGTTTAGATATTTTCTCTTCTTATTTACAAAAATGGAAGATTTCTCCCAACGCTTCCAAAACTCAACTTATAATATTTCCACATAAGCCTAGAGCTTCGTTTTTGAAACCTAGTAGTAGTCACATAGTCACTATGAACGGAGTTCCAATTTCCTGGTCAAACCAAGTGAAATATCTTGGATTAATACTTGACCAAAAATTAACTTTTAAAGATCACATTGAGGGCATTCAAGCCAAATGTAACAAATATATAAAATGTTTGTATCCTCTTATAAACAGGAAATCCAAACTTTGCCTGACGAATAAACTTCTAATATTTAAACAAGTTTTTAGACCGGCCATGCTTTACGCTGTGCCAATATGGTCTAGTTGTTGCACTACCAGGAAAAAAGCACTTCAAAGGATTCAGAACAAAATTCTGAAGATGATTTTGAAGTTGCCTCCCTGGTACAGTACTACCGAAGTACATAGAATTTCGAATGTTGAGACTTTAGCACAAATGTCCAACAAAATAATTAATAATTTCAGGCAAAAATCGTTGCAATCCTCAATTGCAACGATTAATTCCCTTTATACTTAGATAAGATTTAGTTTTAGTTTTTAGTTTTAAGATATCAATTGTTATACTGACATGCAGGTTAAAAAACCTGTTTAAAATACTGAATTGCCAAGACATGAACAATGTAAAAACACTTAGATATATATCATAACAATTAAGGCTGGTACGTTACTGCAGTAACTGGAGCACCTAGGTTAAAATGAAATGTAATTTATTTTGAATTTGGAACAAATAAAAAGTTAAAAAAAAAAAAAAAAAAAAAAAAAAAAAAAAAGGTATAAGGGGGGCGATGAAACTGGAGTGCTATTTTGCTTGAGTATTTCAGGAGTGATCCAGCTACGGCGCCAGTGAAGAGAGGATTGTTTTGATGGT